CCTTCTTCAATCAACCAGTTCATCGAGGGACCTTCTACCATTCCTCAGACTTCGAACCAATTTCAGAAATCGAACTACATTTCTTGCTGTGATTTCTTCTCCACCAACAGAAATCGATCTAGACCTTCAACTATAAAAAACGAAATCGAACTTTCGATTGAAATCTTCATCTACAGAAATTGATTGAAACCTTCACCTACGAAAATCGAAATTGAACCTTCGATTGAAACCTTCAACCAGTTCCCACAGAAATCGAAAAGGGTTCAGGATTTTTCCTTTAGGATTACTTTCTGAAAAGGGTTTAGGATTCTTCCTCAGGTGAGCGACCTTCGAACATAGTTTCTCCTTCCTCATGTCTTTTATGGTCATTTTATATGTATAAACAAAATTTGCCAAACATTAAAAAACAACTTATCAACTTATTATGTTTTGGTACCACCATAAGTTAATCCAAACATTTTTTTTATAGAAACTCCAATTTGACACCACATAAGTTGATAAGAACTTTTACCAAAAAAATACAAGTTGTTTTAAATAAGCAATCCCAAACACCCCCTTAGACATTAACGACATCTTCAACAGATTTTCTAAAATAGAAAAAATAAATTTTTTGTTATCTACAATAGAAAACCTAAGGAAAACTCCAAATATAGGGAATTCTTTAAAACTCTGTAATAGGGATAGAAAAATGTTATTTTAATATTTTCCAGCAATAAGATTTAATTATTAGTTTTTTATACAAGGTTTTTCTAAAAGTGCTGGATAATATAATTATAGAATATTTTAATATAACTTATATTGAAATTCTTTAAAATAGAGATCCTTTTGGAATTGAATGCAACTTCATCTAGATATTTCGACGTTTCTTTTTTTTGTTTTATAGAAATTATAGAGAATTTATTGTAGATGTTCTAAATATAATTAATTTTTTTTGACTCAAATAATCATTTCCCACACCCGAATTGGTCTTCTAAACATTTTTCTCTCGGGTTTACCCAAATGTCACTACTTCCGCAATATCTAGGTCTGCAATATTGGCTAGGTCTGTATATTAGTTAAAAGGCAAAAAAAAAAATCAAATTCAACACAAATATGCAATTGCGACAGTTTGAATTTTTTTGTCTTTTAGCTAATATTACGGACCTGAATATTGCGGAAGTAGTGACATTTGGGTAAACCCGAGAGAAAAATGGTTAGAATATGAATTTAAGTATGGAAAATGGTCATTTGAGTCAATTTCGTTAAAAAAATAGTAAATCCTTCAAAATATATAAAAAGACCATCAAAATGCTAACTCAGACACTTAGTTTTTGTCAAACTAAATGTATCAGATAGGCTAACATTTTATAACATAAACCAACTAAGGGTCTGTTTGTTTACTGCTTAGTAAGCTTAATAGGACTTACAACTTATTGATCAGTTAGCTATATATGACTATTTTGTAGTGGGTTGATGATATAGAAAATGACTTTTTAATAAGTTTTTAGGATGAGTTTTATACATATAACAAAGTTTTCTAAACCTGCCCCCTCCAAGTAACAAATACGTTTCTTCCATCTATGAAAAAACTCTCTAAAAAAACATTTGCAATCTCTATAAACAGATTAATTTACACAGACAACTTTAATGAAAAACAACCAAACAATACTTATTACAGGCACATAAACAAATAACCAAACACCGTAATTTAATGGATCTATATAGGGGTGAGCAGCGGAACCGGGTACCCGGTTACGGAACCGGAACCGCCTTGGAACCGCCGGTTCCGGAACCGAAACCGATATGAGTGGTTCCGGTTCCGGTTCCTAAAATACGGAACCGATTGAGAACGGTTCCGGTTCCGGTTCTCAATTTTTCGGAACCGTTACCCGCCGGATACCCGGTATTTTCCAATAAAAAAATAATTATTATTTTTTTTATACCAAATTTATATTAGGTTTACATCTTGAAAGCATGTCGTCGTCGTCATCTTCATTCTTCATCTAAATTATTCATGTAAAATGATTCGTATTTTTTCAAATTGTGTATTCACTTGGATTCATAGTATGTAATCGTTAAACTTTGAACATTT